ACATGCTTCCATGCTGATGACACTTGTTAAAAAATAATGCATAATTAAATTTGTGACTGAATTCCCTGGGGGAAAATTGTACGTCTCCTGCTCTGTTTTACCCACATTCTGCCATATGTCATGTCGTAGCAGCACACGTTGTTCGTTTTAAGAACACTTTCACTGCAGATTTGACAAAACGCAAAGAAGGTACCAATGTGAGATTTCTAAACATAGCTACAGCACTCGACCCAAGCTTTAAGAATCTGAAGTGCCTTCCAAAATCAGAGAGGACAAGAGGTGGAGCATGCTTTCAGAAGTCTGAAAAGAGCAACACTCTGATGCAGAAACTATAGAAGCTGAACCACCAAAAAAGAAAATCAACCTTCTGCTGGTGGCATTTGTCTCAGATGATGAAAATGAACATGCATCGGTTCGCACTGCTTTGGATCATTATCAAGCAGAACTGTCATCAGCATGCATGCACGTCCTACAACAGTGTCACGTGAATGCCTGCTCTCACCTTCCGCTGACGTAAACAAAAAGCGGGCAGCGTTATCTCCTGCAAATGTAAACAAACTTGTTTGTCTGAGTGATTGGCTGAACAAGTAGGACTGAGTGGACTTGTAGGCTCTAAAGTTTTACATGGTTTTACTTTTGAATGCAGGGTTTTTTTTATACATAATTCTACATTTTAAGTTCGACTTTCATGATAAAGAGATTGCACTACAGTACTTAAATTTTAAATTAAATTAAATTAAATTAATGGAGATATCCCATCTCCTAGAACTGGAAGGGACCTTGAAAGGTCATCGAGTCCAGCCCCCTGCCTTCACTAGCAGGACGAAGTACTGATTTTGCCCCAGATCCCTAAGTGGCCCCCTCAAGGAATGAACTAACAACCCTGGGTTTAGCAGGCCAATGCTCAAACCACTGGTGAATTGAAAAATACTATTTCTTTTGTTTTTTACAGTGAAAATATTTGTAATAAAAATAAATATAAAGTGAGCACTGTACACACTGTATTCTGTGTTGTCATTGAAATATATGTGAAAATACAGAAATGTAGAAAACATCCAAATATATTTAAATAAATGGTATTCTATTATTGTTTAACTGCACGATTAATCACATAATTAATTGCAATTAATTTATTTAATCGCACAATTAATTGCGATTGTTCTAATTGCTTGAAAGCCCTAGTTAAAATATAATTAAAACTGCAAAATTAAAAACCAGGACAAATGAAAATGCGAAAAACAAAAAACAAAAAGCATAATTAAAATAGGGAAAGGGGGACTATATGCGAGGCAATGGGGTCTAGTGGCTGGAGCACTTAAATAAATAAACAAACACATGGAGATTTACCTATCTCATAGAACTGGAAAGGACCTTAAAAGGTCATTGAGTCCAGTCCCCGGCCGTCACTAGGAGGGAGGGATAGCATTGGCCTGCTAAACCCAGGGTTGTGAGTTCAGTCTTTGAAGGGGCCATTTAGGGATCTGGGGAAAAAATCTGTCTGGGGATTGGTCCTGCTGTGAGAAGGGGGTTGGACTAGATGACCTCCTGAGGTCCCTTCCAACCCTGATATTCTATCTAGGACCAAGTACTGTCCCTGACAGGTTTTTTTTCCCCCCCAGATCCCTAAATGGCCCCTTTAAGGATTGAACTCACAACCCTGGGTTTAGCAGGCCAATCCCCAGGGATTCAAGGGACATGGGTTCAATCCTTGGCTCTGGTTTGATGCGTGACGACAGGCAAGTCACTTTCCCCAGTATGCCTCAGTTTCCCCATCTGTAAAACAGAGAGGATACTTGGCCTCCTTTGTAAAGCACTGAGCTCTAGGGATGAAAAGCACTAGATAAGAGTATTATTACTAGGACTTGTAACAAGCAGAGAAATGTTATACTGTTAAGAAATTACTATAAATACGGTCTACACACTTACAAGTAATATCACACATAAGCACTTAAACTACTTAAGACCTCAATCCGGCAGTAAGGTTCATACAAGTGTAAGGTGATACAGAGCTTGCTGGAGGATTGGGGCCTTAAGTTTTTGTTTTTTTCAAAAGGCACTTGACAGGATCGTTTTGTCTTCATGACATTTCAGCTGCAGAAACACAGGATGCTTATTGTGACAATTCTTTGGCTAGAAGACACAGAGCTCTCACTCTGTTTCTTGAATACTTTTGCCATGATCAATCTACAAGGATATTTAAGAACATCTAGTAGTATGGGATAGTTTTTTATTTTGATGATTCTTCTGAGGGTTATAAACATGCAATACCCTTTGAAATATCAAACATGAGACACTACATAAAACCATCTTTTAGATTCAGTAAAAATAAAATTAAGTTATGTTTTATTACTTATTGATGCACTTCCCAATTCCTGCTAAAGTCTACTGAATTGATGCCATAATACAAACAATTTCAACTGCAAAATTAATACAGAGGCTACAGCTATTGTACCTGTCAGGTAGGAGGCAAACTGTTTTGGCCCACAGCGAATTGCATAGCGGGTGGTGGTTTTCACTGCTTTTTGCTCAGTCTGTGAAGTATTCCTGGGATTAAACAGCGTACCATCTGTCGTCTCCCCCCACCACCTCACCCGGATGAGAACAGAAGTAGGCGGTTTAGACACCATCCATAAGATTTTACTGACTGTTAACTTGAGAAAACAGCGCAACTGGCCTTCAACAAGAGGTGGTAAACTTGTAGAAGGGGAGATATCACTGATACCTGTGGAGATATAGCACAGTATTATTTCCCAGAAATATAAATTCAAGTAGTATATTTGAGATGCAGATCACTTTACAAAGTTAAAAAAAATACTTGGAGTTTACCCTGCAGATATGTCTAACATTCTATGCTATACTTAGGGTTACCCTATAGATATTTAGAACATTATAGCCTACAACATTTGTGCATTGCAGATTCTTGGCATGACTGTAACACACCTGGTGCTCACATACAAAATTTGTTGCAACAATTAACATTCACACCACCATTGAGACTATGATTGCTCTGCGCAAAGCCATGTATTAGTGCCAATGAAGCTAGAAAGTGCTGCGGTTGCAACTGGACTGTTCAGTACTGCCCTGCAATGCCCCCCCACCATCCTTCAGTGAATGACCTCCCTGGATGATGGAAAGACATCTTCCACATCCCTTCTGCATCTCCAGGATGCCCACCGTACCATGGAGTCTGTCTTGACCCAAGTGTGCCCTTAGGGTACCTGTTGCTCCAACAAAGGTACTCCGTATTACCTAAGTGGCTTTAAGTAATCACCAAGACCCATATGGGGCTCCCAGCTCTCTGTTGTACCTCAAGGGCATGACACACCACATTATAATCCCCAAAGGCCACTATGCACCTACCGCACCAGTACAGGTAACTACCACCTCCGCACAGGGTGCCCAAGGTACTGCCACCCCATTATCCAATCATACTATGGAGGGTGCTACCACCCCGCCCCTTCAGATGCCCATCACAGGATCTGCTACCTCTTATGAGCCCCACAGCACCCACCACAGCACCCCCTACTGCCACCAACCGCTCAGGGTATCTACCGCCCCCCCTCCCCCCAGCCAGGGTATCTACCGTGTTCCCCCGGGTACCCCCCCCACCAGCCAGGGTATCTACCGTGTTCCCCCGGGTACCCC